CATATAATCTAGAAGATTCCAATAAATTTAAAACCGCAAGAGTGGACGTGTAAGAAGATTTTCGTAATTTGACTATAGCTCAGGGTGGTTGTAATTTACCCTAGTTTCTTACATATATATATATTACAATAAATGAGTTTATATTACATACAGTATCTGCAAAATTTCTATCAGATTACAACTTTTGACCACAGAAATAAAATTAGTGACGGTCCCTTTTCATCAAACGACCTAAATTTACTGTACATGCATATCATAATAAAGGTGACAAGATATTGTAAATACTAATGAAAATTATCATAAGTCAATCTCAGATTTTTGAAATTACGTATACTCTTAGTCTATATATACACACGTGCTTGAGAATGACTCTATCCTCGTACAAACAACATAACTAAGTAATATAATTCAAGAAAATGGCTTCCCAAAAGATGATTTTCTTGGCCCTCTTTTTGCTTATTGGCCTTGGTTAGTGTCTCTCTTCTATATAATAATTAATCATCAATTCTTGGAGTTAAATTTTTTTTTTGATTTTTTTTAAAATTTTATCTTTATTAAATAATTATGGCTAAAATAATTTATCGAATTAAAAAATCGTACAACTCACGAGCTTCTTGAAATGAAACCGACTACGCACGTTAGCAATTTCGTTTTCAATCGAGTTCGACAAATAATATTTCTATCTATTTATTAAAACCACGGTCAAAATAATAATCGCGCCCCCGATTTGTTTTAGGAGCTATTTATATTTATAATAATCCCCCCCTTTTTTTTTTGAAATGGTTGACAGTGTCGGCTCAAATTGATGTGTACAAATGCACGGTGGACGACGACTGCAATAAGTATCCAATGATTTGCTGGTTCGACGGCAAAACTGCGTCGGCCAAATTTGGATCGCCAGTTTGTTTTGAGGGATTGTGTCACTGTAGATCTTCGACGGTCTGCTTTATGAACGAAAATTGCGCCTACTTGAAATGCGATGAAGGTCATTCGCCGTTTTGTTATGAGCTATCTTGTGTTTGCAAGACGGACACCCCGGCTCCTGCCCCGGCCGCCAACATACACTAAAGGCGACGACATTATCGAAAACAAATAAAATAATAATAATAATGAAATTAGTGCTATTTTGTTTTTTTTTTATACTAATTAATCGAGTTTGAATATATATCGATGGTTCATTAATTTGAGTTTCCGGGGATATTTTATGTTCTTGCTCCAAGTGCATTGTGAAATATTGTTGAGTAGTCACTCGAATCAAGAATGGTTTAGTTCGAGTATTGTGCATCTATAGTCGACAAGCCAAACTCCGGTTAGTAAGCCTGAGTCATCTGCATTAAGAGCGACGTCCTAGCCAATTTATTGTAAAAAACAAATGTGATTAATTATTAGACCTTGCAAAGTAAAAAGAAAATAATTAATAGTCGACAAATACGGCCCGATCTTCGGTATCCGATTAGGTGTGCATCGGGCCCTGATAGTGAGCAGCGCGCTGGGAAATAGCGAAAGAGTGCTTCACCGTACCACAAACAATGTACCTAGTCCTCTGCAACAAGCCCGAAGCTGCGGCCATGCAGAAATAATTAAAAAGAATAAGATCCCGAAAATGAAAATAATAATATAATAATACTAATAACGACTCGATAATGTGGTGATCCTGCGTAGAAAATTATGAAATAAAATCCCGGACGTCATCTATATATGCTACAAGTTTGTTGTCCATATTTATTCATAAGCCGAGCCAAAATCACTTAGGAGCTGAAAAAAGAGTGTTATACGATACATTTAAGGTACTCTCTTGATTTTGGTATTTTTATTATAAAGAGGTGTTGAAGCAAACTTCCTTGGATTTTGCGATTGTGATTGGGCAGGATTTGTTGATGATACGAGAAGCACATCGGGCTATGCATTTTCTCTTGGTTTTTTGGTATATTTTTGTGTGCGTCGAAGAAGCAACAAATGGTGGCACAATCGTTGGCCGAAGACAAATACATTTCGGCATCATTGGCAAATGGTAACCGATCAAGTAATGTGTATAAGGAGGATTCCGGAAGATATTTGTTTGAAGTAAGACGAAGCTACTAGTCTCTTATGCGATGACAAAAATATGCTATTGCGATGATGAAGAACCCCGTCTATCATAGTCGCACAAATCACATTGTAATCAAGCATCACTTTCAAGTTAAGTATTATTAGACCACGTAATATTATCTCATAAAATGATTTTTTTTTTTCTATTGTCACCGTAGTTATGTTAATTGTTGTATGCTATAATTTTACAAAATGAATTTATTTAGGCATGTAATTTAAACCGTAAATCTACATAAATAACTATCCATTAAACACACATATACATGAGTGTGTAGGTGTCCAACTGCATACACTTGATTTAAGAAAAAAATATTTATATATGTATATAATATAATATAAGATTACATGTACCAGGTTTGACACTTTCTTAATTATGTTTTTTTCTTAAATATACTTTTATATATATATATATATATATATATATATATATATATATATATATATATATATATATATATATATATATATATATATATATATATATATATATATATTTTCCTAACATTTTCACCAATTTTCTTTCTAAATATTTCCTATATTATCCTAAAATTTGCAAATGATTTTTTTAAATTTGAAAGTTTTACATAATTTTATTGTCTGATGTATATACAAATAAAAAAAAAAAAAAAAACTGCGGCACTGCCCCTGAACTCTCGTAAACTTTTAGTCCACCAATTTTATCATGTATTATTTATATTTTTTTTTATTAAACTCAAATTTGAACACCCTTGACAAAATCATGGATTCACCGTTGAGTATGTGTAGATTAATAAGGTAAGACTACATAATGTATTTCATCAGGTGTAGGTTCTACAAAACCGACAAGTAGGTGCCAAATGTCGAAATAAAATTAATAAAAATTTCAAAATGAGAAACAAATAATAATAATCTATTCATATAATATATTGTCCGATCTTTAAAGAAGGAAACAGGAAAAAAACTTCCCATTTTTTCATTTAAATTAATTCTCCAACAATATATAGTTGGTGTAATGATTTGTATACAATTTGGAACAATATTATGAGAACTAAATTTAATGTATGTATTTTATAATTGTATATTTGGAAGTTGGAACAATATTATGATAATTAAATTTATTACTTTATATATTTTATAATAAAAGTGACGTGATCTTGTAAATATAAAATATGCTTTTATGTAAATCTCTGAATTGAAATTACAATATTACAAGACTCTATCAACTATATATACTTGCCTTACGACAACTCAATACTCACTACAAACAACATAATTACCTGTCCTTGCAATTACAAGCAATAATAATTCAAGAAAATGGCTTCCCAAAAGATGATTTTCTTGGTCACCTTCATGCTTATTGGCCTTGGTTAGTCTCTCTTTTTTTCTATATAATTAATTAATTATCAGGGAAAATTGCACCTCGCCCCCTATTAATTTCTAATTTTCGCACTTCACCCCCTAAAAATTTGGAATTGTGAATGTCCCCCATTAAAATGTTATTCTTGTTGCACATTGTCTCGATAGTAAAATTTCGATGGATTATTCACCGGAATTGAGTTGTTGCACGTTACCCCTTTAAATATTATTTTTGTTGTATCTTATCCCTTAAAAACATCATTTTTTTTTCATGTTGGCACTTTAAAATATTATTTTTGTTGCACAATACGCAGCATCAATTGACTTTTGGGGTGCAATCAAAATAATATTTTAACGGGGTTGTCCATTTTTTTTCAGGGAAAAATGTGAAAATGAAAATTTAATAGAGGATGAACTGCATTTTGTCCTAATTATTAATTATAACAAACACCTCTATCTATTTATTAATTATAGTGAACTGTGATTGGTCAATTTGTTTTTCTCTTTTTTTTTTAGTATAAGAAAATTCAAAGAGGAATTTTTACCTTTGTTGAGATTCAATAAAATGAAATTACTATCATTTTGTAAGAAATTAACGTTTTGAAGAAATTTGAAAAGGTGCTTTATATAATGATAAATCTTGCTTTTTTGTTTTCTTTTTTTAATTTATCTATTGAATCTAAAAGTTTGATTAATATTTGACAGCGGCGGCGGGTGAAAGCAAATGCAGGGTCAACGACGACTGCAAAAATGAACCTATATTTTGCCCCAACGCGGCCAAAATTGGATTAGATGAGGGGCCAATCTGTTACGAAGGAAGTTGCATCTGCAAATCTTTGATTCCACAGTGCGACACCGATGAATTCTGCAAACGTGTGAACTTGATTTGCACTAACGGCGAACCAATCTGTGATGACGGAGTTTGTGTTTGCAACCCAGCTGCTCCTGCTGCTGCTCCTGCTCCGATCAACACACACTAAACATGTAAACATTATAATGTAAACATTTATTAATGGCTATATAAATAATAATAATAATAATAATAATAATAATAATAATAATAATAATAATAATAATAATAATAATAATAATAATAATAATAATAATAATAATAATAATAATAATAATAGCGATATTCGCTTTTGAGTTTTAATTAGTTCGATGCGTTTTTTTTTTCTACAACTGTTTGGCTAAGCTTTTAAACTATTAAAAACAACTTAGTATATGTTTAAGAGTTTATAAGTTCTTCTGAAATGTTTGATAATTTAAAAAAAAAAAAAACAGTAAAAGTTAAAAAAATAAACGGTTAGAGAACAAATAAGAATTTTTGTAAAGTACCTCCCTCCACCCAACATTTTTATAATGAGTTAAAAAGAGCTTGTAAGTTGTGATCATCATCCTAAAACACTTTAAAAATTAATTCTAATAATAAGACGTACAGTTTATCAGCTCTTAAAACAACATATCTGACGTAAAAAATTATCAGCCATTTAAAATAAGCTCAGTCAAACTAATTAATCGAGTTTGAATATATCGATCGATCATTAATTTCAGTTTTTTTTAAAATAACCAAGACGAACACGTCAACTAGCTGACTCATTGATTACCCATTTCAGAATTATGTTGTGCCATAAATATAATACATTTTTATTTTATTTATTGCAATATGTATATATAGTTGCATTACAATACAAACATGCATGCTAGTTATAGCAGCCTTATTAATTAATCAGACACTAATTATTTATTATTATCCCGATTGAACTAATTTAAAAACTAATCGGGTACTTAGGCTGCCGGTTCGGGAAAAATAACCCGAAATTCTTCTCAAACTCGGGGCTCTTCTGATTCTCATCAAACAAACCGAAAATGTACGTCTCGATCGCCCGGCCGGGCCGTTTGGGCGTCCCGTCCCTCACGCGCCGCACCAAGTTCGTGTTGTACGTCCTCGCAAAGTCAACGGTGGTCGTGTCCCCACCCGCCGACGGCCAGCCGGTCTCCGACACCACGATCTCCAGTGTCTCGGCGCCGCTCTTCTCCAGCGCCGCGTACATGGCGTCCACGATGGCGTAGAAGAGGTTCTGGTACCGTATGCCGCCGGGGACCACGATCCCGTCGGAATTGAAAAGCGCGTACTGGAGGTCGATCTGCGCTTTGTTCCCGATGTAGGAGAAGTACGGGTACACGTTGACCAGCAGCGGCGCGCCGGTGCTGACCAGAAAGTCGGTGATCGGCCGGAGATATGAGTTCACGTCGGATCTGAAAGCACCGTCCGCCGGTGGGAAGGAGGTGCCCAGAACTCCGGTCTCGATGGAGGTGGAGACCCGGATCTGGTTTCCGAGGCCGGCGGAGCTGACGGCGGCGCGAATATTCCGGAGGGCCGGGAGGACGAAATTCACGTACCGGGAAGTGTCGCCTCTCAGGGGGCTGACTTCGTTTCCGACGGCGATGTACCGGAATCTGACGTTGGGGTGGTTCCTGACGTTGTTTTGGATCCACGTGTTGGCGTTTGATTGGCTGGCGGCGATGGACTGGAGATCGGGGTTTGGTACGCCGAGGGTGAGTTCGATGTTCGATCCGGCGAGTGCTCGGAGAGTCGCCTGATCGGGATCGTAGATTCTCATTCGCCGGATGTTGTTTTGGTTGCATAGAGCCACTACTTCTGCCGGCGATGGCAAATTGTCGCCCAGCCTACCGTAGCAAACTCCCGTCTGAGCATCTGCGTCGCAATTAATTATTATTAATGAACGAATATTAGGGGTGGAAATTGGAACAGATATTCTGAATTCCTGATTCCGGTTCGAAAATTTGAATTTTGGAACTATATTTTCCATTCTGAATTCCGGTTTTTTGATTTTTTTTGGAACGTAAATTGGAATACATACTGCATTCCTTTCGATATTCGATTTAAGTTTCTGAAAATATTTTCCGAATAGTACACTTGTAATATCAATATTAGTCTATGTCTTGAATTGCACATAGACTTAGATTTTGAAAATTCGTAAATTCAACCGCATCGTTCCAAAAATTTCCTATTTTCTTTTAAGAAACGGAATTGGAATTAGTTTTCCACTTCAGTAAAAAAAAAGTGACTTGTTTTTCGAAATTGTTAATTAGTCCAATTTACGCACCTAAATAAAATGAAATAAATAAAATAGAGTTTGGTGCATATTTGATATTTCTCTTTACAATACATAAAGTTTAGCCTAATTGGTATTATTATGCAAGTAAAAAAAAAAAAAAAAAAAAAAAGATTTTATTGCTGTTTACCAAAGTTATTTGTTTAGTGTACCCAATCACATTCTAGAAGACGAAATTGTAGTAATTTAACACACAAGATATCAAGATATTGCATATTATATTAGTACAGAGTAATTTAATATATATATATATATATCTGTAATTAATTAGTGGAAATAAAAAACATAATGCAAACCTGTGAAATCCAGGGTGATTACTAATATTACGAGCAGCGCCCACAGAAGGCGAAGCGTCGAGATCGAGGAGAAGAACCGGTTTACGGTGCAAGACATTGAGAATTACGGAAAATAGTATGATAATTATTTAAATTGTGAGATGAATAATTTGTGTACCAAAACCTCCCATTTTATAGAGGTTTTGTAGAGTGCAAAATGTGTTGTATATTTTTTGTAATTTAATAAAATGATTAATGGCTGCTAATATTTTCCTGCCAAACTAGCTAAGCTACTCTCTCTGTGGAAAATAAGAACACAAACAAATAAATTGTAAGAACCCCACCCAATTAATATTCCTACTAGATATATATCTATATATGTTTTTAATTTGGACGTATACATTGCTACAAATTGAAAAGTCATTGGTAAAATTCTTGTTCCCTAATGAAAGATTTTTGCTAGTTGCAAGTATTTCTTGAAATATTTTACGACACGTTGTATAGATATTTGTTATCTTTCGAGTATTGTTGTATAGTCGACCTCTTCTAAAATTCTTAGTTTATATTAGGGTGGGCTAACGTTTTCGGAGGTTCAGAGGCAGCGCGCATAACTTTTTTTTTTTTTTTTTTTATAGAAGTTATTAGCAAAATATATCATAAAATAAGTAAATTTTATGCTCAAAATGTAATTATTTGTAAAAAAAGACTATGGGTAGGGGTGCAAGTTGGAATGGAATTTCCAATTTCCGCCGATTCCGATCCGAAAAGTTCCGATTTTGGAACAACTTTTTTCATTCCAACTTCCGAAATTCCGATTTCCGAATTTTTCCGATTTTTTTGGATTGGAATTGGAATTATATAAAATAAATTTGGAATTTCCAATTTCCGATCCGATTTCATTCCGAAATTAATTCCGAAAAATTCCGATTTTTTTCCGAAAAATACACCTATAAATTTTGTATTAGGATTTTGACATAATGAATTGTTATTAGAAGTTTTATTGGATATTATGATGTGTTTATTTTTATTTATTTTTTTGAACTGAAATTTAGTAGTTATTAGTTTTACTTTTATCGACGTGGATGTTCTTATTTTTGAAAAATTATGACAATTTTAGAAAATTTCGGCTAAGTTTTGAAATTTTAAAGCTTATGTGATTTTCGATTTTTTTCCGAAATTCCGAAATTTCCGGGCCTTTTGGAATCGGAATGAATTTTTAAATTCCGAAAATATTGGTATTGGAATTAGAATTGATTTTGTACTTCCAGATTTTTTGGAAATTTTTCGAAAAGGCTTATTCCGATCCGATCCGTCCGACTTTCACCCCTAACTTTGGGTCAACTAAAAATGAATTGCGCTAAGGGGGCTAAGAAAGGATAACAAATCCGACTCGGCTAGTAGTTGCGAGATTAATCTAGTTTTTGTCTATATGACTTTAATTAATTATAGATTACTCCCTGAAGTATGACAGATACCTTCTAATCTATGCTGCACGAACACGGATACGTGGAGACGGTGATACGCGGATACGGACACGGTGATACGGCATTTCCAAAAAACTAGGATACGGACACGTGGTGGATACGGGTAAATATAAAACATATAGGGGTATATTTATAAATAATAAAAATATAGGGGTACATTTATAAATTGGAAAAAATATGTATAAGTCCTCATCGCATAAGAGAACCGTTCGCCCTTGTTGCTCGTGTTCTTGGTCGCCGTTGCATGCTAGACTTTTGGAATTTTGGGTGGACTCACAAAGAAAACAGAAGAAATATGTATTACATCGAAAAAAATGCGTATTTTTTTTATTAGGGCTCTCTCTTAAAACGTAAGAGAAGTGTTCTAACTTTTTTAAAATTGTGGACACTGCCCGACACGGGTGTCCTACTGTTAGCGAGATTACGATACGGCCCGACACAGGTGTCCGAGAAGTGTCCAGGTGTGTCCGAGTGTCCATGTATCGAATACGGTGACTCTTCACCTTCTAGAAGTGTCCGTGCAGCATAACTTCTAATGTATCATTTGTAATAGATACCCCCTCTATCCACCAACTGTGATGTTACCGGTTGAAAATGCTGACATGGCGGTGCGTAACTGCTGAATAATATAGCCGTTGGGACTGTGGACGAAAATACCCCTTGATTAATTAATCATATTATCTATATATATGTACTAGTGAAAATAAACATTTCTTAAATATCAATGTCACAGAAATTGTGTATAAGACTGTATACGATATGCCTAATATATGTTGTGAAGTACAAATAGAAGTGACATTTTTTTTGCGAATAAATAGTATTTGTGATGATTTAGACTTGAAATAGTCGATTATGTAATACGTGGGGCCCGGTTTCATGATAAGTTTCTTGGTGTCGTTTATCGGATGTAGCATATATATATATATTTACTTCATAAATCGATCAAGTTTATATACGTATATAAATGTGTATACAGTGAAATATTATGTGCTAACCCTAATTGATGTCAATTTGTAAGTGTGGAGATAAGTAATCATGTAATGCCAGAGGAGGACGACGACTAGCAATGCGATCGTCGGCCAAGACTATGGAAAAATAGCACAGGCCGGCATGGAAGAAGACTTTGTTAAAGACTTGATTTTCTAAGTCTTCCCTAAAATTGATTGCGAGTCTTGTGACGATAACGAAACAACGTGGCGGAGCCATATATAATTTATTTTTTTGGGACCATATATACATTAAAGTATATTCGTTTACTAATAGTGAATTTTTATGGTTAAATACAATTTGCACCCTCATACTGTATTGATTATTGCATTTACCTTCCTATATCTCTGAAAAATGCAAAACAAACACCTTGTTTTTAATTAAAATATCAAACAAATTGTAGAATTGAAAGAATTAAATAATTATTTTACCCTTTTTAAGATGTTGAGATACCATTTTACCCTTTTAAGTTGTGTAGTTACCATTTTATCCTTACTTTATTCGTTATTAACTGCCGTAGTCTTGCTCCATCAACAAGAAAGCAGGCAATCACTACAAGAAGAAATGGCATTAGTGACATCCCACGATCCCAATTGTGCCAACACAAAAAAAAAAAAATCTCACTAAATGGCATTAAGTGACAACATTTTTTTGTTGTTGAACTAATAGTTTTTTTTATTGTCACTTAATTATCCTATTTCGTTGTCACTATACATTAGTGACAAATATAGTGACAATATTATTTTACCTAATCATATGAAAATTGGTGTTGTACGTTAATGAATTGATTTTTTTTATTTCTTTTAGTGAATGGAATTATCATAATTTGAGAGGCTATGTCAAATGGTAATGTCAAAATATGTGTTTTAACTTTTAATTCAATATAAAGGGGCCTATGATTCATCTTTAATATGATAAAAAAAATAAGGGTAAATTACAACAGCAGTCCCTAAGGTAAGGTTTATTTACGGAAAAACGCCTCATTTTTCCATAATTACATCCACCCCTCATCATTTGTAGCCAATTCCAACTTTGGATCATTAGTTCAATCCGATTTAATAAATGTTAATTTTATCTAAAACAAACAAATGAGTAGAATATAAGAGAACCATATATATATGTATATAACAGCCATATTTATTATTCATGTCCTTATTTCAATGGAGATAGATATACATACAACCGTTACTATATTGTAATAAAACCAATTAAAATTTAATCGGGTACTTAAGCTCTTTGTTCGGGTGAAAAATCCCCCAATTCTTCTCATACTCGGGGCTCTTCTGATTCTCATCGAACATCGCGAAAATATACGTCTCGATCGCCTTCCCGGGCCTTTTCGGCGTCCCGCTCTGCACGCGCTGCAGCAAATTCGTATTGTAAACCCTAGCATTATCAACGCTCGTCGAGTCGCCGCCCGCTGAGGGCCAGCCGGTCTCGGAAACCACCACCTCCACGGACGAGCCACCGCTCTTCTCCAGTGCGGCGTACATCGCGTCCACCATAGCGTAGAAGAGATTCTGATACGTCACGCCACCGGGCATTGGCACGCCGCTCGACGACGTGAAGAGCGCGTAGCTTATGTCGATCTGCGCCTTGTTCCCGACGTAGGCGAAGTAAGGGTACACGTTGGCGAGCAGCGGGGCGCCCGTCTTGGCCAGGAACCCGACGACGGGGTTTATGTAGGACGCCACGTCGGATCGGAAGGCGCCCGCGTCGGGCGGGTACGAGGTCCCGAGCAGCCCCATGTCGACGGCGGTGGAAACCCTAATTCCGAGCCCGGCCGAGGAAATCGAGTTGTGTATGTTCTGCATGGCGGGGAGTACGTACTGCACGTACTGGGACGACTCGCCTCTCAGCGGGCTGATTTCGTTTCCGACGGCAATGTACTTGAATTTGACGCCCGGGTAGCTTTTGATGTTGGTTTGGACCCACGTGTCGGCGTTCGATTGGCTGGCGGCGATGCTCGGGAGATCCTCGTTTGCGACGCCGACGGTGAGCTCGATGTTGGATCCGCCTAGGGCTTGGAGAGCCGCTGGATCAGGGTTGTAGATTCTCATCCGTTGGATGTTGTTCTGTTTGAATAGACCGACCACGTCGGATTCTGGCGGTAGGTCGTTTCCCAGCCTTCCGTAGCAAACTCCAGTTTGAGCAGCTGCATTTATAATCAATAATTATTAAATAAAAAAGCTAATAATAGTTAAAAAAAATTAATAAAAATAAGGGCAAATTACGGACAGTTAGTTATGGTCAAATTATGAAAAATTCCATTTTGTTTTGGTAATTACAGCCACCTCCTCAACTATGTATTATCTTACGAAAAAACCCCTCTAGAGGTAAATTTAGGGATGTTAAATTGGTAAAAGCGAACCGAAATTTCAGTAATTCAACATTTCATATCATTTACCAAGTTGAATATACGATTTGCTTCGGTAAATAACCGAATTACAAAAATTTTATGTAAAAATATTTAAAAGGAGGGGTGGTTGTAATTACCCAAACAAGAGGGGTTTTTCATAATTTGGGCATTCCTCAGGGGGTTAATCGTAATTTTCCCTAAACATAATAATAGTTGAGGAGAAAAACAGGCAAGAAATTAAAAAGAAAAACGGAAAACAAAATGTGTCTTGATTTTATATATATATACACATGGGAATTTAGAGTTTATTGCATTTAGTACCCCTATGTTATAACGAACTGCTATAAAACCCTCTTATAGACGGAGATTTTAGGAAATAAAATAAAATAATATGAGAATTTTTTTTAACAATTAAAAAATACAGGAGTGCTGAATGCAATAAATCCGGGAATTTTAAGACATAATTAACGACAATAATACAGTCTGAATTAAAAGAGTTGAAGAATAATTAATTAATATATATTTCTCTGCAATATATGGGAGAAAAATTAAATAAAATATATATAAACCTGTGAAATCCAGGGTGGCAATTAAGAGCAAAGCCAGAATAGCAATTGAAGAACTGAACTGGCTTAAGGTGCCAGCCATGGTGAAATTAATTAAGAAAAATAATATAAATTAGAGTTGTGTACTTGTTTTCCAAATAAACTTCTTATTTTATAGAGGTTTTGGAGATTACATATTACATATAATTTATAAAAAAAAATGTGATTTAATTTATTAATTATCATACTGTCCAAATTAGTTTGTGTGGAGATTATTATTTATTACAATTAGGTAGCTAAAGCATAATTACTTTTTTTTCTAATGAAAGATTAATGCAATATTTGTGTATTATGACAATATGCAATAACCCTATTGAGAAAATCTGAATGGTAGTAAAGCAAATTAGTAAGCTTAATTGCATCACTGTGACATGTACAGTTGTTTAGTTACTATAATAAAACATAACAATAATATAATTTAAATAAAAACTAAAAAGAATTGTTTCATGGGATTATTTGACTAATTTTAATAAATCACAAGAATTTACTTTTTGGATTTGATTTTTCTTTTTTCCAATGAATGATTATGAAAATTGAAAACCTCAATCTCTAAACACATCTTATTTTAACAAAAAAATACATTATCAATATTATATGTAAATATATTTTTTAAATGATTTAATTATCAATATATTATAAAGTGGAAGTTATATTGTAGTTTTGGTCCTCTATGTTGGCCTATTTAGGGATTTAGTGCCCAAACTTGTCATGTTACAATTTGCATACAATAACTTTGCGAACATACTATTTTTGGCCCTATAATTTTGCATCAATTTAATTTTTTTATTTTATGATGCAGGAACAACAAGCTTAACATATTTCACTTATATGGACGCTAAAAATTATACATTCGACCTCTAACTTAGCCTTTATATAACTTTGATTATGCAAGAGGGCGTATTTATAAACCAAGTTAGATGAATTTTGTAATTTTAAACGTCCGTATAAATAAATTTCGGCGAGTTCGTAATTAAACAACACTAAAATTCAATTTTTAGTGGAATGGGACCAAAAATGCTAATTTAGCCAGTTATTGTATGTAATTTGGCCTAGTTAAAGGACTAAATCTCTAAGGAAGGCCAACATGTTGGACTAAAATTACAATTTCCCCAAATAAAAATATGTATGACGTATTGAAAGGTTTTTTAAATTTTAGGCATGTCTCTAATACTCGTATATCAATATACGAAGTTCAACCGAAAAGACGGATATAAACAAAAAACTATAGGTCGTGATAGACTAAAGCGTTTTTCTACATGCGTATAATGTTTTGACGACGGTAATTAAACGATCCAGGTGATGTATTGTCAGCTGCGTTGTTAAACTTTAATTTGAATTTCGAAAATTCCAATGTCCGAATTTTTAGACTTTTTGGATCGAAACAAGAATTTTTATTTTTATTTTCCAATTTTCGATCCGATTTAGTTTCTCAAAATTGAAAATTCTGATTTTGTTTTCGTAAATTACCTTTATAATATAATATTATTATAAATTCTAAATTATAGATGAATAAAAAATAGGGTTGAATACAAAAACCCCTGTACTATGGACTTTGTATCATTTACCCCCTTGTACTACACATAAATACAAAAACCCCCCTCACATTGCATTTTTCCAGAATATGACGAAAATACCCCTAATATATATATATATATATATATATATATATATATATATATATATATATATATATATATATATATATATCTATATATATATATATATATATATATATATATATACTATATATATATATGTAGATATATATATATATATATTTATATATAAATATATATATATATATGTATAGATATATATTTGTGTATATACTCTACTCTGCAAGAGAGGTATGTACATGAGATAGATCTATGGAAAAATATACGAAGTATAGGTGCGGATCGGTAGAGATAGAACGTGCGAGCGTCGGACGACT